CAACTTTGTGAGTATGGCAGACTTCGACTGAAGAGGACAGTTAACCCAGGAGGTGACAATTATGCACCTTAAAAGTTATGTGAGTAGTGCCTTAACAGGGCAGTGTCTGCATTTCTCTGTCTAAGTAGCAGACAGAGGTGGCTTGGTATACAGAAGGTATAATGGATCTACCCTATAGGAATCTGCAGAGATGTAACAAGGGAGTCAGAAAGGAGGCCTCATTGACCAGGAAAATTCACACCTGTCTATTTGCACATGTTTGTGTTGCTACTAACAGAAACCTTCAGCATGACATTAAAACCCATAACGCTATTTCAGCTCACCATATTATTATTATTAGTTGCCGTAGTAGTATTGCTATTCTTATAACTATTATAACCATTATAATTATTTGTATTATTGATGTTGTTGGTGCTGTTGGTGCTGTTATTATTATGCCCTAGATTCATGGTATATACTGCTACAGAAAATGATGGATGGCTCTTGGACTGGAAGCAGTCAAATTTTCCCTGCACATTTACAGAGAAGTTTTCAGATACTTTTTGGCATCCATAGGAGAGCCCCTTTTTGGATGGTTCAATCTATTTCCAGTGTTCTTAAGGCCTTCCCAATCAAATTAACAATCCTGATTCTGACTGCTACTTAATTAGTTATGACTTGTGTTGTGGAAGCTTCTAGGAGCCCCAGTCCTAGGGCAGGACCCCATTGTGCTTGGTGCTGTACACAAACAGAACAAAGAAGTGGTACCTAGGTTTGCCTGGGTAAGTCCTTTCTTCAATAAAGCCAGAAGAGCATAAAGGGGAGGAAATCTCAAGTGTTTCCTAATATATGTTTCTCAGCACTTGTTCCATGGTGGGGAGGTGGAATTTCCTTCCCGCAGTAGAACAGGTCAGAGTGTCAATCCCCAACCCCCTCTGCCCCTGCACTGAACCCAGGGACCTCCGCACAGCAGATCTGCATGCAGTTATGATATCTAGCTGCTGAAATGACATGGGCTGAAATAATTCTAAAAAGCAGAGACCAAAAATTAATTTTAAGTAACACTGAAATTAGAGACTTCCTGCTAATAGAGAAAGATTCAATCCTGAATAAGATTCTGCCAAGTTTAGCTCAGGGAACTTTACTGTAGCTACTGAAGGTTTAAGGCAAGGAAGGTTTAGTCATTATCTCCTATACAATCCACAGAGCCATTGTGTCAATGCAATAAACAGCCATCATGTGGGAGAGAGAAAGACCTCCTGTAAAAACCACAGGATAAATTCTGGCTTCAGGTGCAATGATGCTGGCCATATGTCTAACTTTCTAAAATGCCCTGCAGAAAATGCCTGAGGGAAATGATGGTCTCAGTGTTGCTCCCACTAAAACCAGTGGCCAAACTCCTATAGAGTACAGC